GTCATTGACCATGAGACTAAGTCAAACATCCAACACACACTAGTCTCACATGCATTAACGATATCCCACTCTCGTTAATACTCGACTATGGACATTTAGATAAATATTTATTTCAAGATGTTAGTCTCATCAGCAGAATAACACTATATGATAAACATCTTTAAATATAAATCTAGAAATATAATATTTGTTTACACTAGCATGAGATGTGTAAACATATTATATCTGCCTATACATAATAGAATAATGATAAACAGTTGGCCATCAGGGCACAACTCCAACACTGATTTCTTCTTCTTCATACTCAACAATGGCCATTATCTTCTTGTTAGGACATTCGTTGGCATAATGACCTATTCCTTGGCAACGGAAACACTTGGGAGCTCGGGTGGTGGTTTGGCTGGTTTTGAAGGGGGGCAGATTTGAGGAAGAGGGGGTGGAATTGGGCTTTGAGCTAGGATTTTGGGAAGTAGGTGATGGGGTTGTTTTTGGGGTGGATAAGGGTGATTTGGAGAAGGGAGATGGGTGAGCTAAGGGGGTTTTGTTTCTCTTAAGTTGAGATTCAACTTTAAGAGCTAATTTGGAGAGTTCTTCAAACGTGTCATAGGGTTGCAGTTCCACGATATTAGCTATTTGGGTGTTAAGTCCAAATAGATATCGGACAAGCGTTTGAGAATCATTTTCTTGAAGATCACACCTCATCAAGAGTTCTTCAAACTCCCGAGTATAGTCTTCAACCGAACGGGGACCTTGTCTTAGGTGTTGAAGCCTAGCAAAGTTGTCCCGTATGTATTGTTCGGGCAAGAACTTCTTCTTCAACAAACTTCTCATCTTGAGCCATGTTTTCACGGGTGCCTTGTTCTCACACCTTATTTTGGTGGATAAGTTGGACCACCAAGTGGAAGCGTACTTTCGGAATTTTAGCGCCACGATCTTGACCTTCTTGTCCTCGGGCACATCTTTTAAGTCAAAGAAGCGCTCTACCATTTCTAACCACTCTAGAAAGTCATCCAGATCATTCTTTCCTTCAAAGGTTGGTATGTCAACCTTGAAATCAGTAGCTCCCCTTTCATGGTTTTCTCCTCTAGTAGTGTTGCTAGAGTCAGCGTCTATATGAACTTCTTCTTCTTCATCACTTTCCTCCGGGGGTGTTCACCATGCTCATCTTGAGTTTTGTGAGTTGAGCAACTTGTTTAGCCAAGTATTCAACTTGGGCTTTGAGAGCAACATTGGAGGCTAAGAGTTTTTCATGGGAGAGGTTGTTGGAAGTGTTTGACATGATGAAGGGAATTGATGGAAAAGGGACTAGGATAGGGCAGTAGCTTTTGGAAAAAGGAGAAGGAAATTGGAAGTGTGTTGTGTGGCCTTAAGAGGATGTTCAACAACAAGCTCTGATACCAAATGTTAGGCACCAACTCAAGGAAAGAGAGGGGCGAATGGGAGGAAGGTAAGGGGTGAAGGTTATAAGGCTTTTTTTGGTGAAGTTTTGGGTAAGAAATGGCAGTTTTAAGGGAGGGGAAGGCTAGGGAAGAAAATGGAAGCAAGGAGGAAATGTTTTAGGCTATTGTTTGAGTGAGGAATGAAGGAGAAAGGTGATATTTAAGGGGGAAGGATATGTGGGGAGGCCAAAAATGGGAAAGAGGAGGGAATGAAGAATTATAGTATTTTCATAAAATAGATAAACCAAGTTGGTGTTTAAGAGATATTACACACTCTTATCCTCACTTGGGGTTGTGCCTAGTATTCAAATAAGATATTACACACTTATTCAAATGACTAGAACCTAAAACTCACACTCAAGAGAACCACTCCTAAGATATAGATTTAGGAATTTGGGTAGCAAAACACACAAGTGTATTACTAAGAAACTTCAGGATTACAACTTGAGAAATCAATGGCCTATGGCCGAAATTTATACATACACACAAGGAGACTAACAAGTCTCTTATTCACACAAATAAAAGGAAAATAATGACCACTTATTGATTCCCTTTTGGTGGGGAGAAAATGCAGTAGGGGTCGTACATGTAGTGCTGGAATTTCGGCCATTAGTGGAAGGAAGGAATAAGTGAATAAAACCCACTTATTTGATTAGTTTTGTGGGGATATTTTGGCCAAAAGGGAGGGCTAAGTGAGGGGAACTTGCAGGCTGTTTTGGAAGTATTTCTTAGGTGGTACATGGGGAAACATAGGAGGGGTTGATTGGTGTGGTGGTGGGACAATGTGTCCTGGATTTTAATGGGTGTTTGGTCAGCCTAGTTGGGGAACAAGAGGGGGCATATGGCATGGGTTGGAAGGGAGGTTTTGGCATGTAGTTTTGGTCCTTTAATGGAGGGAATGAAGGGGCTGGATTGGTTTAGTGTGGGGGCAGGTTTTCTTGGCCTTAAGGATTGAGTTCAATGAAAAAAATAAGGGTGGGGTGTGTTTGGGTTGTGAATTTCGTCCAAGGGGAGAAAAGTGAGGAGGAAAAGGAGATTAAGGGGTTTAGGGCTGATTTGGATGTTTGGGTTTTGGGTTAGGGTTGGTTCGGCCCTAGGGTGGGGTAGGATTCAAGGATATTATGGCTAGGGTGTATGGTTTAGTGGTGGTGAATTCATTCCAAAAGGGATCATAACATTTAGCCATTATTCCGTTGATTTATTTAAGGACTTGAGAATCGTTGGTGGTGACCAGGGGTACATCACTATGTTCCCTAGTACAACCCACTAAACAACCATAAAAGTCCATGAGAAACATGGTACTTTCTTAACCCTTTAACCACCAAATAAATCCTCATATATGCAGCCAAAGTACCACACATTATCCTTTCCCTTTGTCCCCCCTAGTTGGCTGAACACATCCCCCCAAATCAGCCCAAAAGAATGCTATCCATTCCCCTTGGTTTTCCTTTCATTGGAGACCCTAAAACCACACCCATCCCTGATTTTATTCCAATAAAAGGACCTAAAACATGGCTGATATTTCAAGGCTTTGAGAGAGGATATTGATAGGAAGTTTCCTTATGTCTACATTCAATGTATTGTGTATTTCTTCCCCCTTCCCCCTGCCTATATAATCAAGCCCTATGGCCATTGTAAACACAATCTTTGAATATTGAAAAACCTTTTACTCTTTGAGTATTTATAAAATAGTGTGATGCTATTTTAGCCAAATTCCTAATTCTATCTTAATTAAATTTTAGATTCAACCCCAAGTTAGGATAAGAGTGTGTAATATCTCTTAAGCACAAACTTGGTTTATCCATCATTATTTTCTACCCATTTCTCTTCCCACCATTTCTATTCTTAATCTCCTTTCTTTCTTCATATTAAAATACCCAAAAGAACTCCTTCATCATTACCATATTAATCCCAGCCAATCCCCACACAAACACCACTATTTTCCTCACAGATTTTCGATCCTGATTGCCTTGATAATCGATTATCAAACATAGATAATCGACTATCTGACCCTTCGGAACACTCTTGGAATAAACACTAAAGCGCAATAATTGATTATCACTTTAGTGACAATCGACTATCGTACCCCTCTTATTTCTCTTGGCCTAAACCATATAACCCAATAATCGATTATCATAATTGTGACAATCTACTATCTGGCACCCCTGAAGTTTAAAAGTTGTTCAAGTTTTGCTTCCAATTTCTCTGTATTTCCGCCCTGAAATTACTTACATGATAATACCCCCGGTTCGGATATAACATTTAATCCGATTAAAGTATTTTAGTTTGCC